TTTCTTACATTCTTTTTTTCTGGTTGGTGTCTCTCACTGGCAGACTTCATTGGGGCTACAATAACGGCTACATTCTGTCCTGGGTGAAGGAGTCAAGGCCTCCCTCCGCTCAGAAAAAGGTCCTCTGGAAGGTGACCTCCTCAAGGGGATCCATGCAGGTATGGGTCAAAAAGTCAAGTATGAGCTGTGGCTGTGCAATCCAAACCCCGTCTCTATTTTACAGGTGTCAAGCCCCAAGAGATACTTTGATCCCATGACTTCAGTTTCGTTTGGTTTGTTTGTTTTTGCACCAGAAATCCCAGGAGACTCCTGATCCCCACATTATTTTCAAGTTGAGACCCTAATCAGTCACCTGCATCTGACTTTTACGACTAACAGAGTTGGAAGGGACCTTGTGGGTCATCTAGTCCAACTCCCTGCCCAAGCAGGAGACCCTACACCAGTGGTGGGTTTATTTTATTTTTAATTTTAATTTAATTTAATTTGTATACCGCCCTACTCCCGTAGGACTCAGGGCGGTGAACAGGCACGTAAAATACAAAAATCAAGAGCAGAAATAAAATCGAATTAAATCAATTTAGCCCAAGACAAATTTAAAACCCAGGTTAAGAACAGATTAAAATTTACATTAAAATTTACATTAAAAAAGAATGGGAAAGGTTAGGCCAGACCAGCCTGGTGAAATAAAAAGGTCTTAAGAGCGTGGCGGAAGGTGTGTAGATCCGGGATCCTCCGTATCTCTGGGGGGAGCTCGTTCCAGATAGTAGGTGCCCCCACAAAGAAGGCTCTCCCCCTGGGGGCCGCCAGCCGACATTGTTTGGCCGACGGCACCCGGAAGAGTCCCTCTCTGTGAGAGCGTACCGGCCGGTGGGAGGCCGTTTACGGCAGCAGGCGGTCCCGTAAATAATCAGGCCCTAAACCATGGAGCGCTCTAAAGGTGGTAACCAAAACCTTGAAGCGCACCCGGAAGACCACCAGGAGCCAGTGCAGCTCACACAGGAGAGGTGTTACATGGGAGCGTCACGTCGCTCCCATAACCACCCGCGCGGCTGCACTCTGCGCCAGTTGGAGCCTCCGGGTGCTCCTCAAGGGGAGCCCCATGTAGAGAGCATTGCAGTAGTCCAGGCGGGAAGTGACGAGGGCATGAGTGACCGTGTTTAAGGGTTTATTTATTTATTTATTTATTTAATTTGTATACCGCCCTTCTCCCAGAAGGGACTCAGGGCGGTGAACAGCCAAAATTAAAAAAACATACAAATGCAAAAGTTAAGATAATTAAAAGAATTAAATCATTGGCTACCCAAATTTAAAACCCCAAATCCATAAAATTTAAAATCCCAATTAAAAAACCATTTAGGCTAGGCCGGCTTGATGAAATAAAAACGTCTTCAGGGCTTTACGGAAGGTCCGGAGGTCCGGGATCAATCGTATTCCAGGAGGCAGCTCATTCCACAGGGCGGGTGCCCCCACAGAGAAGGCTCGCCCCCTGGGGGCCGCCAGCCGACATTGCCTGACCGACGGCACCCCGAGGAGGCCCTCTCTGTGAGAGCGTATTGGCCGGTGGGAGGTTATCGGTAGCAGCAGGCGGTCTCGCAAATACCCTGGCCCTAAGCCATGGAGTGCTTTAAAGATGAGAACCAACACCTTAAAGCGCACCCGGAAGACCACCGGGAGCCAATGCAGCTCGTGCAGGAGAGGTGTTACGTGGGAGCGCCACATCGCTCCCATAATCACCCGCGCGGCCGCATTCTGCACCAGCTGGAGCCTCCGGGTGCTCCTCAGGGGGAGCCCCATGTAGAGAGCATTACAGTAGTCCAGGCGTGACGTAACCAAGGCATGAGTGACTGTGCACAAGGAGTCCCGATCCAGAAAGGGGCGCAACTGGCGTATCAGGCGAACCTGATAAAAAGCCCCCCTGGCCATGGCCGTCATATGATCTTCTAAAGACAGCCGTGTGTCCAGGAGGACGCCCAAGTTGCGAGCCCCCTCTGTGGGGGTCAGTGACTCGCCCCCAATAGCCAGCGATGGCACCAGCTGGCTATACCGGGACGCCGGCATCCACAGCCACTCGGTCTTGGAAGGGTTGAGCCGAAGCCTGTTCCTCCCCATCCAGACCCGCACGGCCTCCAGACACTGGGACATCATTTCGAGGGCATCATTGGGGTGGTCTGGGGTGGAAATGTACAGCTGAGTGTCATCAGCGTACAGATGGCATCGCACCCCAAAACCACAGATGATCTCACCCAGCGGCTTCACATAAATGTTGAACAGGAGCGGCCAGAGGACCGACCCTTGCGGCACCCCGCAAGCAAGGCGCCTCGAAGTCGACCTCTGCCCCCCTGCCAACACAGACTGCGACCGGTCAGAGAGATAGGAGGAGAACCACCGCAACACGGTGCCTCCCACCCCCAGTCCCTCCAGCCGGCACAGCATGATACCATGGTCGATGGTATCAAAAGCCGCTGAGAGGTCTAACAGGACCAGAACAGAGGAACAACCCCTGTCCCGAGCCCTCCAGAGATCATCCACCAATGCGACCAATGCCGTCTCCGTGCTGTACCCAGGCCTGAAGCTGGACTGGCACGGATCTAGATAGACGGTTTCATCCAGGAACTGTGGGAGCTGTCGCGCAACCACACTCTCCACAATCTTCGCAACAAAGCGAAGGTTGGAGACCGGACGATAGTTTGCCAAAACGGCCGGGTCCAGAGAAGGCTTCTTGAGGAGGGGCCTTACCACCGCCTCTTTCAAGGCGGGAGGCAAGAAACCCTTGCTACCGCTTCTCCCCAGTTCTTGCGAACTGGTAGTGGAAATTTTGAGCAGTTTGGAGAACCGGTAAATACCATCTCTGCATGGCCCCGCCCCCAATCTATTCACTGCCTCCCAGTCTCCCAGCTGATCGGCTAGATTAGAAGGAAAAAATCAGGGCTCACTTGACAAAGAAGAGGGGGGGAAAAACAAGACACCGTTACTTTAAATTGACAAGCCAAGAATCAGCTGCTAGAAGGAGGTTTTTGCTTGCAGACATTCAGCAGTTCGTTTCTGGGTCAGCTGAACAACAAATGGGATAAGAGGAGGGATTCTTATATGGTTCTATATTTTTGAAGTTTTGGGGTTTGTGCAACATGGGCTTTGTGTTTCTAAAACGGTTTGGGCGATTTCCATTGTAAAATATCCTGTCTTGAATGAGTTTTCTGCCTGCTTGTAAATGGAGCCGAACTTCCAACTTCCACCTTCTATTATCTCTAAGCACCAGTAGCTGTTTTCTTCTTACAAAGTTTCCTTTATGCAGCTGGCAGAAATGTGGAATGAGTATCAGGCAGGTTCCTTGTTAGCAGATTGACTTTTCTTTGCTTTTCTGGGAGCCTTTTCTTATGAGTGATATTTTATTTGGGGAAATGAAGAGGGGGGAGTTTGATTCCTTCCCAGAGCAGGTTAGTGGAGTGGGGAGGGAATGGGGATTTTGCAGCATCCTTCCCCTGTCACGCTCACCAAGCCACTCCACGCCTACCAAGCCACATCCACAGAACCAGTAGTAAAAAATTTTGAAACCCACCACTGCCCTACACCATTTCTGACAAATGGAGAGTCCAATCTTGAAAACCTCCAGTGATGAAGCTCCCACAACTTCCGAAGACAACTTCTGTTCCATGGATTGATTGCTCTCACTGTCAGAAAATTTCTCAGGTTGAATCTCTCCTTGTTCCGTTTCCATCCATTGTTCCTTGTCTGACCTTCAGGTGCCTTGGAAAATAGCTTGACCCCCTCCTCTCTGTGGCAGCCCCTCAAATATTGGAAGACTGCTATCATGTCTCCCCTGGTCCTTCTCTTCACTAGACTGGCCATGCCCAGTTCCTGTAACCGTTCATCGTATGTTTTAGCCTCCAGTCCCCTAATCATCCTGGTTGCTCTTTTCTGCACCCTTCCTAGAGTCTCAACATCTTTTTTATAATGTGGTGACCAAAACTGGATGCAGTAGTCTTAAGGTGTGGTCTTACTAGGGCTTTATAGAGTAAAATAAAAATAAATAAATAAATAATTTTATTTTTATACCGCCCTTCTCCCGAAGGACTCAGGGCGGTGTACAGCCTATTTAAAAACACAAAAAACACGACAACAATTTAAAATTTAAAATCATTAAATAATTAGGCTCCAATTAAAATCCCAGAGATTTAAAATACCCCAATTTAAAACATTATGTTAATAGCGTTAATAATAGAGTGGTATTAGTACCTCACTTGATCTTATTGTATCCCTCTGTTAATGCAGTTTAGGATTGCATTGGCTTTTTTGACTGCTGCCACACACTGTTGGGACATATTTAATTGGTTGTCCACTAAGACGCCAAGATCTCACAATTACTGCTATTAAGCCTGGTGTCACCCAGTCTATATGTGTACTTTTGGTTTTTCTTGCATAAGTTTAATTTAATTTAAAACAATTGGCTGAGTCTCGACATCTTTTTTATAGTGCGGTGACCAAAACTGGACACAGTATTCTAGGTGTGGTCTTACTAAGGCTTACTAAGCCCTTACCCATTTGTAAAATTGGATTGTTGTGTGCCATACAATCCAGAGTCTCATGGAGAGGAGGGTGGGGGAGACGGGTGGGCCACGCGATGTAAATTTGATTAGCAAATATGATCACAGGCTTACGCTAACATGTGGCAGACAAAGGAATCCAAAGTCTTGCAGCGAGACAAAACCGCCTTCTCTTTCAAACACTCTCGCCTTTGTTCATCAGGGAACGCATGACAGGGTCCCTGTTTTGCTTTCTCCCTGCTTTGAGAACTCGCAGTTCCTGGAACGGTCCCTTCCACACCCTCACGTGGGAACGTGAGACCCAAAGCTCTCTGGAAGGTCATTCAATAGCTGAGGCTATTTCAGATGATGGGCGTCTTTCCAAGCCGGGCCCAGCTGCCTCTCGCCCTAAAATTTTTGGGAGGTTTTTTAGGGGGGGGGGGGGGGGGGGACAGGCACACACACAGAGAGACCATGGTTTATAATTAACGCCATTAAAAATAGCCATTGACTCAACCACATGCAGCTAACAGGGCAAGGAAGCTGTTGTGTAACCAGCAGCCCAGAAGGACAACGCCAGAAGAATGTCATGATCTAAAACCGTCCCAAGCAGCCGGAGAAGTTGGACCCCCCCAAAAGGCAAGTACTTTCGAGCTTGTTGACAAACTGATATTTGCCTAAGGTGGGTGCACGCATGGGGTAGAGAGTGGCGTCTTTTCCCCCCAACAGCTGAACGACAACTGCGATTGCCTGCTGTGTTTTTCTGCTTATTAGGGGCACGCCGAAAGAGTTGGCTCGGTTCCTGCCAGTTCCTGCTCACCAAGCTGTCCTTGGTGATAGGGCTGATATAGGTCCCTCTGAGTAGGTGGGGGAGAGGTGGATCTAGGCAGAAATGCCACCTAAGTACAGCAGATGATCCAGAGGAGCTTAACGATACGTATTTAAGGAGGGATCTCCTTATACAGTTCCAGGAACGGAATGATTAATTTTGCATCTCCAAGTCCATCTAGGGAAATCCAGGTCCATCTAGTCCATCTAGGGAAAAAGTTGAATGCCTTTCCTTCTCTAAGCCGGGTCTGATAGCTCTGGCAGTCCAGGCTGAAGCGTTTCCATCATTAATGTTGTAGGATCACAACCTTTACAGGAACAGGAGAGGGAGAGTATCATGTTAGGTCCATCCGCAGGAGGTCTTCGCACTTTGCCAGATTCAGTTCCTGACCTCTCTTATGACATTGTCTGTATTTGACAGCTGGGTCAATTTATTCCGGGCTCCGCAGTGATGTATTTGTGACTAGCAGTACATGAGCATTGTCTCTGAAAACCAGTGGAGCGTGTTGACCATTTGCTGGCTACCTGGGGAGAAAGGTTACGTAGGCAGGTCTTTTAAGGAGAAAGGTGGCAGGATGGTTTTTTAAAAAATCTCCTCCCTATTGGAACTGCCTGGATTTTATATACAACTGGACAAATGTGCATGATGTGAAATCAGTCTGCACATTGGAGAGCTGCCTACGCAAGCAGTTTACACTATTTCCTTCCACTTGCATGGAGTACAGAAGGGAACAGACTTTTGTTACTCCGGGATCTCTGGAAGCTCACGATGGGGCAAGGGTTAAATGGTTCCTTTGCTTAAACAAGGTTCTCTTGTTTCTTGTTCTCCCAATAAGATGTTGAGACTCTAGAAAGAGTGCAGAGAAGAGCAACAAAGAGGATTAGGGGACTGGAGGCTAAAACATATGAAGAATGGTTGCAGGAACTGGGTATGTCCAGTTTAATGAAAAGAAGGACTAGGGGAGACATGATAGCAGGGTTCCAATATCTCAGGGGCTGCCAGAAAGAAGAGGGAGTCAAGCTATTCTCCAAAGCACCTGAGGGCAGGACAAGAAGCAACGGGTGGAAACTAATCAAGGAGAGAAGCAATCTAGAACTAAGGAGAAATTTCCTGACAGTGAGAACAATTAATCAGTGGAACAACTTCCCTGCAGACATTGTGAATGCTCCAACACTGGGAGTTTTAAAGAAGATGTTGGACAACCGTTTGTCTGAAGTGGTGTAGGGTTTCCTGCCTAAACGGGGTTGGACTAGAAGACCTCCAAGGTCCCTTCCAACTCTGTTATTCTATTCTATTCAATTCAAGATGATCAAGCTTGAAGGTGATTGTGAATCATCTTCAAGATGCTTTGAAGGACAGGGGAAGTTGGGATTCTGGGGGAAGTACCCTCCATCTTTGTCTTAAGCAGGTAGACTTCTAGGGCTGGCTTAGTATTGTATGTAAACTAACAAATTCCAAGAACATTTCTTCATATTGTGCAATCTCCATATTAAGGACAAAGGCGTCATACCATCAGTTTTGATCATTTTTAAGAATAAAGAACTGAAGGAAGTGGTGGTTTGGGGACTAGGAATGATTGTCTGAACTGTCTGCATGCCTGAGAACTTGAACTTTCAGGATTCAGCTCTTACTTGTCAGAGATATGTTTTGGGAAGTCACAGGCTCAGCTGTCTCTGTGTTTAACAGATTAACAGAGTTAGAAGGGACCTTGTAGGTCATCTAGTCCAACCCCCCGCTCAAGCAGGAGACCCTACACCATTTCTGACAAATGGCAGTCCAACCTTTTCTTGAAAGTCTCAAGTGATGAAGCTTCCACAACTTCTGAAGGCAACTTCTGTTCCATTGGTTGATTGTTCTCACCGTCAGAAAGTTCCTCCTCATTTCTAGGTTGAATCTCTCCTTGGTCAATTTCCATCCATTATTCCTTGTCTGGCCTTCAGGTGCTTTGGAAAACAGCTTGACCCCCTCCTCTCTGTAGCAGCCCCTCAAATATTGGAAGACTGCTATCATGTCTCCCCTGGTCCTTCTCTTCACTAGACCAGCCATGTCCAGTTCATGGGCACAACTTGTTTCGATGCTCTACCTGACTCATTCTTTTGGGACAGACTGTACATTCCCACCCTTCCTCTTGTGTCCCTCTCTGTTGCTCAACAAGGTAGACTTCCCCTCCTCCATCTCTGCAATTCCCTTCATGCTTCCTTTGAAGATGTCCTGTCCTCCTTCTAGAGTGACTTCTCCTACTATTTCCAGAGTACCGCTATCTTCTGGACACAGGAGCACCAGGGTTGGGCCCAGGGGTGGTATTCACTTACCTTCCCTACCAGTTCACAAATGTGTGCATGCACGCGCTTGCTCCGCTCACCCATGCCATCTTCTGCACATGCAACAGGCCCTCTGAGCATATGCAGAGCCTCGAAAACATGAAAAAATGGGACGTCGGGACATCCGTGCGGTTGGGTGGGGAATCCTGCAGTCACCCCTACCAGTTCGCCTGAACCGGATAGAACCGGCTGAATACCACCACTAGTAGGGCCTGAATGCTGGGGTGGGAAGGGTGGGGATGGGTTTCTCTCCTATGGCAATAAGTCATCCCAAAATGCTTCTACCCAGAATGCGCCTACCTAGAATGTTTCTAGAATGCTTCTTTTGGTGGGCAAAAGTAACCTCCCATGCCATGCATTGTGAGCAATGCCAGATAAATCTAAGGAACAAGATGAAGTCACTTCTCCTCGAAAGCCACCTGAGGACAGGATAAGAAGCCATGGGTGGAAGCTCCTCAGAGGGAGATCCAATCTGGAAATAAAAAGAAGTTTCCTCACAGGTAAGAATGATTAATCAGTGAAACAGCTGGCCTCCAGAAGTTGTGGGAAGGGCTTCAAGAAGAAAAAAATTGGACAGCCGTTTGTCTAGAGTGATATAAGTCCTCCTGCCTTGGACAGAGAGTTGGACTAGAAGACTTCCAAGGTCCCTTCCAGTCCTGTGAATCTATGATTCTGTAGCCCCATTTCCTCCCTCACATCTCAGGTTCATTTAGGACCAGGAGAAGAAGCAGGGTGGGATTCCATCCAGAGGCGGGTTTCAAATACTGTACCAACTGATTCACCCATCACTGGAAATGCGAGCGTGCACATATGCATGCTCGCTTCACTTGCATGCACGCTGTCCGAGCTTGCATGCAGTATCACAAAACACGGCAATTCACTTGCATGTACTGTCCACGCATGCATGTGGTGTCAAAAACACAAAGATATAGAATGGGATTGCGCCCGGGCAGGTGGGTCGCCACTACCGGTTCGCTCAAACCGGACCGAACCGGCTGAATACCATCTCTAATTCCATCCCTTTCCCACCATATTTATTTTGCATTGCCAGGGTGAGCCTCAGGACCCCTCTCTGGTGGGATGACCTTTGTACTAATTTGATTTATTATTTTTGCTTCATTACATCACCCTCTACCTCCTTGTCTGCTGAGAGGCTGCACGGTGATGATTTATGGAAGACATCTGGGATCTTAGGGGGGTAGCCTGTAGATTGTGTCACTGCTATTTGAGAAGCGTCCACTCATTCCCTCCTTCGTGCAGCAAAGTAGCCGGAGTGTCAAATTCTAATCAGCTTCAGTGCTTAAATCGTAAGCGGACAGGTGTCCGTAGTGGTTCCTGAACCGAAAGTTTCCCTTCAAGATGATTCCCATTCCCACCTGCCCAAGGATGCTGGAATGGAGAGGAACAGAGCAAGAGAACGGAAACTAGTTCTGAAGACAAGTTACAGGGTATCTCATCGCCCAAAAATATTTCTCCAGGATCCATGTAGCCAACCAGAACGCAGGAGGAGAAAAAATATATGCCTTAAAAATATGTATCGTGTTTACCCGAAAATAAGACAGGGTCTTATTTTCTTTTGACTCCCAAAATATGTCCTTGGCCTTATTATTGGGGGGAGGGGTCTTATTATTTTTGAGGTGCAGGAGGCCCCCTAAACATCGACCTTCTGCAGGGGGACTGGTGCCGGAGCGCTGACCAGCTGCTTCGCTGTTGCCGCTCAGGCCGCTGCCTCCAGCAATCGTGGCAGCTTTTAATTTGCTTCCCATGCAAACAGCATGAGGTGAGGAGGTGAGGTGGGGGGGTAAACAGTAGGGGAACATGCCCCACGCGCACCTGCCATCCACCCGGAACGGCCTCGCGGAGGCCGCTCCTGCAAACCCTAGCTCGCGCGCCACTTCTCTTAGTAGCGGCTGCAAAGAGTGGCCGCAAACAAACTTTTGCCAGCCCTAGCCCTGTCGACCTGGGGGGAGGGATACTGGTGCCAGAGCTATGAGCCGTGGCCGGTGTGACCTGTCTGCACAGCCATGAAGCAGGATCGGCATGGCCGATTCTTGCCCGCAGCATTGCCGGCGAGGATTGGGTCAGAGCCGCTGCCAGCCGAGATCAGCAAGTCTGATTTGGGGAGCTGAACACACTGCTGCCGCCCAGGAGAAGAACGCCAGAAATGGGCTCTCTCGCAGCACCTCCTCTCTTTCTTCTTCTCCCGAGTACCACTTTTGTTCCTGTTTTTCGGGGGGGGAAGGACGGACATGCACGGGTGTTTTTTTTACAAAATTCCATTAAATTATGTTTGATTCTTGGAGTCTGCCTGGACAAGCTCCTGAGGTTTTTGGGGCAAGGTTTTTCAGAGGTGGTTCGCCATTGCCTCCTTCCCAGTGCTGAGAGAAAGTGACTGGCCCAAGGGTACCCAGAATAACAGAGTTGGAAGGGACTTAGGAAGTTTTATAATCCAACTCCCTGCTCAAGCAGGAGACCCCTATTCCATTTCA